ACTCAAAGAGATTGAAATTCTAGTTTGAACCAAATTTTGAGGGAATATGTGACATTTTCATGCCCCTTTTTGCAATATTTTATGGTAAATAAATGCAGAATGTTGCCATGGATACACAAAAAAGGAATTATATTTCACCATTTTAACTTTTGAAAATCAAATCTAAGGAAGATACTGATTACATACGTATGCACATGTATGACACAAACAGTTGGCTTAATGTATTTAGAAAGCCAGGAATAGAAGATGATCAAACATTTTGTGGTTAAATTCTAATTTTATTGTCTAACTATGGAGTGCTATCTAAATATTTAGCGTACTTACAAAACATCAAATAATGATGATGCATCAAATGTTTCACAGGCGATTGTATCTAATAATATCTCATCTTCGAAGAACGACAGAATTTCTTTTGGATTTGATGTAAAATCTCTCACCTGAAAAATATAAGAATAAATATTTTGTACACATTGACATATTTCAAATATTTCTGTTTTGAATGCTTACTGTTAATTTAGAAATCATTGCATGCAATTATGAGTTGCAATTGACGATCAACAGATAAAAGTCAATGTGATTTCAGAAAATGCTGCAAACAAATATATGACCAGAATCAACAATGCAAGTTCTAAGTAATGGAATACTGCATCTAGTGAATGCTTTGCAATAATAAAAACAATGCAAACATTTCTGAATTTATGGTCTATGCAGATTTTATAGGAATTCATATGACTATGACTGACAAAGAAATCCTCAGTGTATATTATATGGTGAACATATTCCATGGCACTGTATAACTTTTAAAAAAATCACATCTGTCCATGGCACTGTATACACTTTTAAAAAAATCACATCTGAGGTAGTTTTTTTTTTCTTCATATTGAAGCTGTGAGTCACATTGTGTATTTTTGTCTTTTTAATTTGTTTGGATAAGGTAAGCATGAAAATTACAATTAATATACATTTTTGGGATTGAGTGATTTTTTTCTTTCTAAAATAATAGATGTTTCTGTGTTTTGAAGTGAAAATTTCAGTTCAATTAATTTATGTTAAATATAATATTTGTGTTGGGTTCTTAAGATAGAGAAATTGAAAAATACTTTTTGATATCAAAAAGTATCTAGCATACCAAAAGATTAAATGAAATCAAAAGATTTGCAAAACTTACACATTTCACACAGATAAATTTGCTTTTTCTTGGCAAATAAAATGTATGTCCCTCCAAGGGGAAATAACTCATACAAATGAATCTCTTATTACAGAATAAATTACAGAATTGGCATTTAAAATTGAGAATGGAAATGGGGAATGAGTCAAAGAGACAACAACCCGACCAAACAGCCGACGACCACCAATGGGTCTTCAACACAGCGAGAAAATCCCACATCCATGGCGGGCTTCAGCTGGCCACTATACAAAATGTGTACTAGTTCAATGAAAATGGACGTTTCACTAAACTCCAAAACATATAAATGAACTAAAATTAAAAAAGACTATTCAGACTATTGAGAACAGGTAATTTTTTATTTTAGCAATAATAAGCTTCTTACCCATTTTGCTGAGTTATGTAGAATGACTAGAGAATATTCATGTAACTTATTTATTCTTGATTTACTATGAAGAAAAAATCCTAAGGCTCTTTTTACCAGTTTAAGAGGTGTCCATTTATCACTGAAAAATAAAAAATAACAACAATGAAATCCTGCTTATTATAAATTATTTAAAATTCATATAAAAAACTTATCAGAAACAAAAAAAGTATAACCACCAATGTTAAATTGTTTCCACGGAAACTGTTTTGAAAAATCTTTCCTCAAAACAAGCAAGTATATATGAACATACAGAGCCTGAAATTCATTGGTTGTCGTTTGTTGCTGTGTATCATATTTGTTTTTCATCCATTATTTTGTACATAAATCAGGCTGTTAGTTTTCTCGTTTGAATTGTTTTACATTTGTCATTTCGGGGCCTTTTATAGCTGACTATGCAGTATGGGTTTTACACATTGTTGAAGGCTGTATGGTGACCTATAGTTGTCTCATTGGCAATCATACAACATCTTCTTATTTTTATATTGAATATTTAAAAAAATATACCATATCAAAAGTTTATTACTTTTATTCCCTTTTTTCTGATAGTTAAAAGCCAATATGTGAAATTTAAAATATGTTAACTTACCTACCAAGTTCAGGATCTAATGTCAAAGCTGATATATACCAACTCAATTCTGAACCTATAGACTAACTGTCAACTTGGATGGACAGTTGTCTCATTGGCACTCATACCACATCTTCTTATATCTATATACCTTTACAACAGAATCAAGTGCTGTGTGTTAAACTGATTTCCAAGTTCTAGATCTAAAAGCAAAAGGTAATTGGTACTTACCTAGCCCTAACATCAAACATCAAAGCTAATATATACCCGAACATTTCTAGGTCAAAATGTTTAAGTTGATACCAGTATATACTTACACTGCACTAGATCAAAGTGTCTAAACTGACCAGTACCTACTCAGTTCTAAGGTGACCCATACCTAAGCAGCTCTAGATCTTACTGTCAAAACTGCTTAATACCTTACTCAGCTCTGAATATATGTATAATTGCTGCTATATATCAATCCAGCTCCAGATATAAATATTAAAGCTGATAAATACAGACCTAGCTCTTGATCTAAATGTCAAAGATAAATCAAACCAACTCAACTATGATTTCCTGATGATACAGTGTCCTACAAATACTAACTTCTACGTCATTTGGTCTTTGGTGGATAATTGTCTCATTGGCAATTATACCACATCTTCTTATTTTTTTTCTGAATCTAATTGTAAAAGCTAATATACCTACCCAGCTCTAGATCTAAATGTCACTTTGTCCATTTCTGAACTGAGGTCTACACATATCACCTGTGTTAAGTAAGAAAAAACACTATTAAAAAATCAAATAAATCTCAAGAAACTTCCAAAAATTCTAGAATGCATAGTTTGTACATAAACATAACTTTACAATTGCTATTGTCCTGTTAGGTTAATGATTTTTAGCCACATTACCTTTAATGGAACAACAATGAATGCAATACTTAAATAAAATATTGCTACTTAATAAGTTACAACTATGAATTATTATCTTTGAACACCCAAATAATTATTGCATATAATTAGTTTTAATTTTGAAGACTTGTCCTATGAAAGTGTTGATTCATGCTAAATATTAACAGTTTCTTAAGTTCTGTTCCCTCTGTAATTGAATTTTCCAAGGATTTGTATAGTAAGACAATACTTACTATACAAATCCTTGAATTTTCCAAATAAATAAATTTATCTCAACATATTGTATAAACAAATGATAAACACATGTCTTTTCATGAAGACCTTATCTTGACAAATGTGTTGTCTGTTTGCTGTTTCATTGACATATACCCTAAAAAACCTTTTATTTTAAGGTGTCATATTGTAAAGTTGAATATGTTCAATCATTATTGTTATATATATATATCTTTATTCTCAAACAGCCATTGCATAACATCGGTACAGAGATACAATAACATTTGAAACAAAAAAGAAAAACACAAAATTTACAATATACAAATCTACATGCATATACAACTAACAATTATAATTATGAAACATACAGAAAAAATAAAGAATATAAGAGTTACAAGCCAGGAAGACACACACAAGTATTTACATGTTTGATATATATATGTGCAAAGTTTCTTTAAAACTTCCTTGCGATTACTGGACATTAGTTTCTGAAATGTATTTGCATTAATATGCCTTTTTGTGAAATAAGTATTTATACAATATTTATGCTTCTCAGCTAAAAAATTGCATTAAAAAATATAGTGGTACTTGTCACCAACTTGACTGTTAGATCATAAATTGTTCCAGAGCATTATTATTGCTTGGGGTTCATAGAAGTGAACACAGGGTCACATTATTGTATCCACCCGTCACATAAAAGCTGTCCCAAATTAAAATTGCTATTACACCATCATTTTTTCAAACTCCATATTCTGGATACTTATATCAAACAATTTTGTTTTCATTTACCTTCTGTTCCTGAAATTTAGATTACATGGAACTGGCACCTTGAGAATTAACACAAATGAATGACAAAGCCAAATATGTTAATACTTTAAAAATGAATTTAGGTTCAGCAGTTTATTTGTGTTAGGTTTATTAAAAAATAAACTGCTAATCTTTAAGAATGTGCTCCTTATAAGCACAAAAATAGAGAAAATATAGTAGATTTTACAGGCGGATATCTATAGGAATGATCGACATAGCACTAAAGACAAGTTTCCAGTTCATTTTTTTTTAATGAGTTTCGTCTGATGACCCGACACCAATCAGCGTAAATGATGTCATTAAACAATTGACTCTTACTGTGAAGCATATTAACAATAGCATTATGACATAGAAAATGTACGGGAAAATAAATTAATGTGAAAGTACTCTATTTCTCTTTAAAATAGATGCTCATGAATGCAAATACTAACTATTTTTTCTCTACAGTTTATTCTTGGGTATGACATTATGATTTGTTCATTTGCTGATTGTGACAGCTTTGATTGGTCATTTGTCAAAACTTTTTCATGTTGATCATTTTGGGCCATTTTGGAAGCACAGGGTGGGTCGTCTATAACATCATATTCGTGAATCACAGAAGAAACAATGTTTGATATTCTTTCTTTCTCTGTTTCATCAGATCTATTATCTTTTGACTTGTTATTAGATAACCAAGCATTATTCATAATTCAGTGGAAATATTCTTCTACAGAAGATGCATCTTTTTGGTATTAGGCTTGGCCTTTTGAGTAAAAGAAAGATTATAAAGCATTTATGTAAAATATATATCTATCTGCCAGAAATCATATACAAATTATTTTTTCTTCAGTATCATAATTTTTTATTAATAAAAAATTATCAATTTCGAAATAAAATATTAGACTTGAGACCAATAATAACCTGTCTAAAAAGTCTTTCATTTATTCATAACCATTATTGACATGTCGCACATCAAAGAATACACAAAAATCATGAGGTTTTATTAATAACAAGATATTTATGATTTCTTTTAAGTATATTACATGTTAACATAACCCAATAAGCGCAGTATAGCTATTCAACATCATAATTATGGTTAAACAATGATCGTACTGCAAACTGAGGTCTAGTCTTCTTTTACATGTTTAAATTTGTTTTATGACCAAATAATTTACCTGGATATAAAAAAATCACAATTCGGCTTTATTTACTTAAAATCGAGAATTTAAAAACAATGACGAAAAGATTTATATTCTAGTCTATTGAAATGAAATCAAAAGGGTAATTTACCCACATATGGTTAGCTCAGATAAGTCAAACTCCTACAAATGTTATACCTGCCAACGTATGTATGTAGGTAAGAAGATCCCTCTGTGATTCGGAATTCCCTGGATTGCTGCGAGGGTACAGGGGAGTTGGTGTACACTCCCTATCAGGATTAATGGAGATGTGTCACTAACTTATATGCAACCCACGTCCCACAACCAGGTCAATCCCTAACCGCACACAGAGGGAGTGTTAGAACACGGCGAAGTCTGTTATAAAGGTAGAGGAAGCTAAATTACTTGGATAGAACCACTGGAGTCCTTGGTGGGAAAAGATAAACTGAAGAGATATCTATTGATCAATCTCCAGGTTAAGTTTGGGGCCACTTTGACCAACAGAGGCCCTCAAAGTACCCATTCTAGTTTAACCTGCGGTCTGGGTACCCACATGATATAGGCTTGCTGTGGAATTGTAGCTCTCATGGTCCTTGTAATTTTTTTTTACAATTTGGGGACCATGTGGTCGCTCATATCAGAAAACATAATAAGGACCAATAGAGTTGCGGTTTCGGCAGCTAGATTAAGGTGTGCACTACACAAGTTAGACCCCTTGTCCTGTTACATAACGATACAGTAAATTACATGCCTTTTGCAAAGTTGATGTGAAGGTGGCATGAATGAGGTTTCAAAGCATGCAAGAACTGCTCGACTTCGTAATCAAAAGTCATTCACAGTCTCAGAACACTTCCAAATCTTTCTCTCTTCTTCTTATTCAACAAGGGAGAGACTACTGTATTTATAATATAGGGATTTCCATGGGACAAGAAAGATTTGTTCGTATAGAGTATTTTGTTGCTATGAAATGATTTCTTTTACTATGTTTACTGTATTTTGAAGTTTCTGAGTAGTTCAGGTAAAATATCAGACATATATTATTTGATTAAATTAAACTTAAAATTATTATAGTTTATTGGTTTTGCATCCTTTGCATTGTCAATTAGTCTTAATGCCATTGTCATATTTCAAGCTCATAGATTTACAATGTAATTGTGACACAGGTGAAGACCTACAAGAAACAAATTTTATTCATCTCTCAAATAAGATTGAAAGGTATTTTGCTTGTATCCAATAGTGTTGTTGCTTATAGGCCCTGTAACATTATCTTTGTTGTTAAACGACAACCAGTTTTTAGCCTAGTTTTTAAAATGTGCAAAAATAATATTGATATACCATGTTTCGTGATGCCATTCAAACTTCAGGATCTGATATGATTTGTCTCGAACACCATGCAAAGCAAAATGTAAAAAAACCATGACAGTGTAAATATGTCACTTTTACCGTTCTAGAGTTACACCCCTTTACAAATGGAAAAATTGCTGAATTTTTCGTTTCTGTTCAATTCTATAACTTAAGTTTGCCTCAACCAAATGTTATGAAACAGATACCCAATGCTTATTACCACAAAACTCAGCATCAAGTACGAATTTGGGTAGCTTCACTTTTACCGTTCTTGAGTTATGTCCCTTTATAACGTTATATGCAATCGAGGGCATCATCTGATCAAAAATAATATTGATATACCATGTTTCGTGATGCCATTCAAACTTCAGTATCTGATATGATTTGTCTGGAACACCATGTAAAGCAAAATGTAAAAAAACCATGACAGTGTAAATATGGAGACTACAGGTACTTTACAGTCAGGGGCATCTCTTAAACATGTGACTTTCAAAATTACCTATACAAGGTATGTTGAAAATGAGGCTCACTTAAATATTGCTTGTATTATAAGTTTCTTTTGTAAATTTCGTTTGCATAGGTGTCCATTCACACAGACTTTACTACCTTAAACAAATATTCTCGTACATCTGGGGGGCCTAGGTGGCCGAGTGGTCTAAGTAGTTACTACTGTAATCACTAGCCAGTCAACACTGAGGTTGTGAGTTCGAACCCCCCTCGTGCGGGTGCACTCGACTCCAATCCTAATTGACTAGGATTGTCAGTTTTCGTATCGAAGGTCTGTGGTTTTCTCCGGGCACTCCGGCTTCCTCCACAAATAAAAACTGGCCGCCACGAAATAGCCCAAAAGCGGTGCTTAAAAGTGGCGTTAAAACATCAAAAATCAAATCAAAATCAAATCTTACATCTGGTCATTTTTCCCATCAAGAATAAAAACTTATCCTCCTGAAACACTAATTGCATTCCAGACACACTTATATTTAATATTGGTGCTTCTGGGTACAAGATTGGTCATATGGGACTATTTAATATCATTTTCCTTAGAAATCCAGAAGGTAGACATGGTAGACAGATAACAATAGATAGAAACCTGTGATTTAATTGAGACTTTAAGTTAACTTAAAGTCGAAAACAATAACAATAAATCATTTTAATTATTTCAAAGATGTAGAAAATAACTTATCGAAGTAATATTTTTGTCATTACTTTTAATGAAACCTTTTATCTATATACTCCTCTCAATTTTAATTGATTCTAAATTATATGTGATAAAGTAATGTGAAAAATTTAATGAAAACTTCATGTACACGTAGTCCATGCTTCTAGTGAAATTTGAAAATTTCAAATAACTCTTTCAAGTAATTTTTCATAAAAAAAAATATGTTTATAGGCAATTGAAAAAAATAACTTGTTTAAGTAGCACCTGTTGCTGTTTTAGGTACAACAATGTAGGTTAGTGACAACATTAAATCTTTTTACTTTTCCATGTGGTACCCTTCTTTAAAATGTAACTATCACTTGTAATAAGGGCCTTTATAGAGTATAGGATTTAATAAAGATGAGGAGGGGGTCAGCATGGTCAGACCATACTTCAAAAATCATAAATTGGATGATCTGTAAATGTAATAGACATGCTCACTGAACTGACAACAAAGTATGTACATTTGAAATTAGAAACACTGCATGTCTTAACACTGTAATTATGCCATGCATTCCTTGTTTTGATAGTTGTTGATGAACAGTATTGGAATATAAGTGAACACCCGAGCCAGTTATGAACAATCCTGACCAAGAGAACAATAACAATGAGCCCAGAGCTAGAGGAAGGACAGGACAGAACCCTTTGTTGAATGTTAGAGACAGACTTTTTCATGCTTTATTCTACAGAGTAGCATTAACATATGCTAGGGCCTTTCCTAAACCTATCAGAAGAGTATTGGAATTTGCAATTTTATTAAAGGTAAATTAAAATTATCTATTCTGTATTCTGTACAAAGTGCCATGATTTAAACATAAACTTTCATGTCTGTTGAACAATTCAAATATGACTTCAAAACATTTTTAAAAAATGTTGATTTTTATCGAAAATATATATTTTTATTTTCACTTTACATGCTTAAGAGTTAGTAATATTGTAAACTAGATATAACATCTCATGGACATTAAAAGCTTTTTAGCATTGGCATGAACTTCATGTGAATCTTCATGACTAGTCATCTTAAATGTGCATTTATCTTAATACTTTTTATTTGCCTCACATAAAGTTTTAAGCATGATTGAATTTAAACAATATTATTTTTTTTACAGGCACTGGTTGTTTTGAGTATATTAGTTTATATACATGTTGTTTTTGCTCGAACTCCTATTAACTGTTTGTCTCACGTCAAAGACTCATGGCCAAGAGATGGTATTCTTAGAGTAGAAATTGTACACAATGCAACAGCAAACTACACATTAATTAATTCTTATGAGAAAGAATACACAGACTTTACATTTCAATTCTTTAATAATGGCAAAGTTCTCCATCAAGAAGAAGACAAGACATCAGAAGGGGAACAATCACATGATGATGAAACTACAGCCTCTGAAAATGAAGAAGTGCCACCTGGTGGTAATTCAGAAAAGTCGGAAGTAAAATCTGAAGAAAGAAGTGAAGAATTGAAAGTGGAGGAAAAAATTTTGGAAGCTAAATTCATAGATCATCTTCTTTCTGAAAAGACCAGTGATATAAAATCGGATAATTGGACAACTATTGAGAATACCACACTGTTAAGTGCAGAGGACAAAACGATAGACGACACTGATGCCACGTCTATTTATGGCTTTACACCTTCTGAAATAGAAATGCTGGCCAAAGTTGGTAGGTACTTTAGTTTGTGGCTTTCAACCTACTGAAATAGAATTGTAGGCTTAATTTTGACTTGGATGGAGAGTTGTCTCGTTGGCACTCATTCCACATCTTCTTATATCTATTAAGTTTGCTAAAGTTGGTGATAATTTAGTATATATGGTTTTACACGTAAGGAAACAGAAATACTGACTAAAGTTTATTTGTATTTACATGTGTATTGCAGATTCCAGTTTGTGGTTTACTAAAAACTTGATATGACTCCTGTGATTCTAATTTCAGCATTTGTACATAGCATATGGTTATGAATCAATAGAATATGGTAATGAATCAGTGAACAATTTATGTTTGTGATTTTAAATAACAAGGAAAATTGATTCCCCCATATATAAAGCTCTTTCCTAGTAGTTAAACATAGAACCTGACTATTGTATTTTTACTGTAAAGTCTCTGAATTCACTATAGACACGAGTTAAGAATTACATTTGATTTATATATGTATAACATAAAATTTACATAATATAATGATTTTCGTTGTTCTATGTTTTACTAAATAGTTTGGCCAGAAGAAAAGTACATTGTTGAATATGCTCTTGAGTATGGATTTTTACGCTTATCACCAAAGACCAGACAGAAACTAAATATTACAGTCATGTTGGTAACACTAGGTTTGTATTGGTTTTCCTTTCATTTACAGCTAAATGAACTAAATTTATAACTTTATAATTATGATTGAATAGCAGTTAATATTCATTTCGAGATATAACTTAGCCTAATCTTTATTGAAGACATTTGAAAAAAGGTGAGACAATTATTATAGAATACAATGTCAAATTTCATGTATTAGATGAGGTTTTGTGTTGTCATCTTTTTATGATTTTTATGTTGCACTACATTTAATAACATTAATGAAAGTATTGAATATAAGATATCTATGCTTTACAGATCCAGACAGGGATGTATGTTTTGGAGATAGTATCAGTAGATTTTTACTGGCAGAATTCTTGGGATATGATGACATATTGATGTCTAGTATCAAACAGTTAGCAGAACAGGAAGACAATAAAGGTAGATAACCTGAACAAGTAGCTTTTTATATCATTGAGCATTATTGATTTTATATGAAAATTTATATGTATACATTTTGTGATTTATATTTGTTCATTTACACAAAAACTTAACATTTCTTCACAAAGGTCCCACAATTAAAACTAAATTTAGAATGCATCTCAAAGGAAAATTATACTTTAAAAGAGAAAATCCTCTTATTTAATTTGATAGATAATTATATAAAATATTATGTATCAAGAAGTGGTGAGACTTTGACCTCCAAAATGGTTGTATTTTCCATATGTTACCTGCAAAATACATTTTTGTCTGTCTGATGTTTGTCTGAAACCAACAGCAAACGTAATTTGATAAGAGAACTTTTAAAAATGTGTTAAATTTCATTTTGTATAGAAATATTATTATCATTTATTCAAGGTTACCTCAGAAATGTGGTATCTGGAGAACATTACAGATTTGTCAGCATGTGGATGGCTAGAAGTTCATATTTAGCTGCTGCTTTCATTATGCTAATATTTGTAAGTTAAAGGTTACCAAAAGAGTCTTAGGGATCAGTTTTAAATATATAAGTTACTGATGAGAAGTGTTATCACAAAAAGTCCTAAAACTTCAATTAATCTAAATTATAGAAAGATTAGTGATTATGGAAACTGTCAACAACCATAAGTCTGAGGTATGTGCTTCCCATGGAAAGCACGTTCATATCAAGGAAATTTGTATTAAAATAGGCCTAGATTTTTACATCCCAAGAAGATTGTCGGAGCAATAAATGGATGGTCCATTTGTGACTTGTCCTCAATGTTATATGAGCAGACTTCTTGATGACAATCATTTTTCATTTATCTGTAATAAAATGGCTGTTTATAATTATTTTCTTGAGAACTATATTTTGATGATTGTAGTAGACCTGTAAAACTTAAATCTTACAACATCGTAACATATGCAGTAATTATTTTTTTATGACCAGTTATTTAATTGGAAGGGTACAAGAATAAATCTATAATAAATAAAGATGAGAGATTATTAGGATAACATGTCTTCTGTATTATTTTGTAGACTGTCTCTGTATCAACTTTGTTGAGGTATTCTCATCACCAGATATTTATCTTTATAGGTGAGTCAAAATAGTATTGAGGAAATGTGATAATTATTTTGTACTACTAAATGGAACAAACAGTGTAGGGTGAAGTGAAATGGTGTAGGTTATTAAGTTTCCAGAACAAAGTTTTGACAAACTTATTGTTTTTGCTCAGTCATCGTCTCACCTGGGCAAGATTTTTTTCTTTAGCAATTTAATGTATTGTTGAGTGACATTTATTGATGTGTTCTCATTTCATTTACAGTTGATTTTCTACAGATGTTGGAGATGAATATCACTATTGCATTCCCTGCTGCACCACTGTTGACCGTAATCCTTGCTTTAGTTGGTAAGTCCTACTGAGTCTATGAAATTTGGTTATGTTATATTTCTATAAAATAGGGCATCCTTTAGAAATATTTCCCACATCTGACCTTCCAATCTTCTAGTCAGGTTTATGTGGAATTTTGTTTTCAATCCAAAATATTGTAGACATATGCATACACAAATATCATTATGGTATCTTTGGAAATGATCTTTGAAAAAAAAAATAGTTTAATCGTTTGTTTCTTATGCCATTTCCTGTCTGACATTTGAATTAGTCGAGATGACTATTTTCATGTTTTGTATAGTGCAAGCTGTAAAGGACAACAACAATTGTAGATTGTAATGTTCTAAACAGTATGACAGACTTCCAACAATTTCCTTGTTGATTTCAGAAAAAAAAATTGTGCACCAAAAAATCCCTCAAAATTCCATTCCCAACCTATTATAAGTAAGCAGCATATTAATGTATTTAAAATTATATTGTATCATATTCTCAAAACTTTAATGGAAATACAAAATTAAATTAATGTGGACATTGTGCTTTAAGTAAATTAATCAGCATTACAGAATAGCAGATACCTTGGATTAATTTATTTTAATTGGTAACAATTATTGATTGAGGAAAAATTGTGTTTTCATGGAAATTTGAATTAATAGTTTTGCCAAAGTCTGCTTACAAGCCTATTGATAATTAATACTTTGTTGAACATTTAGAAGTGTGGTTTATCTTTAGCCATGTGATCATTGAACGTTTATATCCCATGAATAATAATTAATCCCCAGTATATAAAATATACATGTAAGTCCTCTCCCTTTATTGAGACAGTTACAAAATATATAATTAATGGGAGAGGAGACAATAATAAATTGATTTTAATTTCAGGTATGGAAGCCATTATGTCAGAATTTTTTAATGATACCACAACAGCATTTTACATAATACTGATAGTATGGATTGCTGACCAGTACGATGCTATTTGTTGTCATACTAACATCAGTAAACGTCATTGGTTAAGGTAAATATGTGATTGTGTAAACAAAAATTCATAGAAAAAGTGATGAAACAATTTATTTACTTTAATAACATATAAAAGTACAATTTTGACTGAAGATAAGAAATTTTTCTCTAAAGAAAGATCAAACCAGAGATATGAAATACCAGGTAACTCACAGCAACTATTATGTAATCTAAATCACATATTAAGAAATATTTTTATTTAATCAAATTAATATCCATGTGTTTTACTTTAAGCATATAATAATTAATTACTATTTAAAAAATGTTTCATAAATATTACCATCAAAGAAGTTGACAGTTGTCAAATTGCTGCAAGACATGTCCTAATTAATGACCCTTGACTAGGTTAATATCTCTAGGCAAGGACAAGCATCTAAATGATGTATCTTCCTCATTTTCATTAACAAATTGATTACCTGTTATTTATCTTTTTTATTCTTTATTTGGATGAAAACTGACCTTAAACCACGTTTATTTTCTGACGAGAAAGTAAGACTAAGAGTTTGTTATTGAAGATATGAAAACTTTGAGAGGTCAATACGATTTTAGTTCTAATACTTCTTTGTCAAAATAAAAAACTTGGTTAATTTAAGTCCTTGAAAATATTTTGACAGAATTTTACTTGACAAGAACAGATTCTTCTACAGGACTTGTAACTTTGCACCTGCTGTTTATGTCACCTCTTCCAAGAAAGAGACATTATGTTTTAGAAGTATTTCTTTTGGTTCATCTGTTCTTCAGATTCTTGTTCTCATATGTTCTTGTCTGGGTCAAAACTTTTTATCTTTTAACATTTGAGTTATATGATATTTTGCATGAATGTATATAACCTCAAGATAATGTGCTACATATCATTTGGACCTTTTTGTGACCTTAACCTTTGATCTCAAAGTAAAAAAAAAAGATTTTTTGGGGGATTTTTTTTTGCCGAAATAGTTCAATCTTTGACAAAGGCTTTTGATATTTGGCACATTGTTAAATATCTCAAAGATGGTTCATATCCCCTCTGCTAAACCATATGTATCTGTAAATGCTTTGAGATACTTTTCTAGTTCACCATAAGTTTTTTCCTCCACCCTCAGAATGCTTGTTCTTTTTTGTAATGACAATACCTTTCAATACCTTTCAAGTACAAAATTGTGTTTGTTGTACCTTCCTTAACTTCAAGGACTTCTAGAATGCATGCTGTAGAAGAAGAGGAGACACCTTTTTTGGTCCACTAAAACAGTTCCATCCAGCTTGAATTTTGATCTGAATGATTTTTGGAGTTTCCCATACCAGAACCATTTCTGTTCATATTATTTAGAGACCGCAACCCATTGATGAAACACTTTTGTTAAAAAAAAAAAAGCTAATAAAGATTTTAAATTTTGAATTTTGTTTCAGGTTTTTCTATTTATATCATTTGGCATTTTATGCCTACCACTATAGATTTAATGGGCAGTACAGTGGTTTAGCTTTGTTTACATCTTGGTTATTTATACAGGTAAGTACTCTCATTCTGTTGATTCATTGAAAGAGTTATATCCCTTTATATAAAGGTTCCAGACCTATTAAAAGTCAATTGTTTATTAATTGATGTTTTTTTCTGTGTTCTTCTCTTTTGAGGCTACATAGTAAAATCTTCCGAGACTACATAGCCAAATCTTATCATATTTAAAGAAATTATAATTGGAAGACCTTGTTAAAAGAATGTTCACATTTTATTATGATTGGTTAGCATTATGTGAATAAATATTCAGGATGAAATATGTTTTCAATATTAGTAGATTTAAGATGATATGTTTGTTAGAATAAATCTCGACTGAAATAAAAGGAGACCACAGGTAGTAGCACAATAAAACTAGTGAAGATATCTGCAAGTCTCCAACGATAGACAACTATCCTTACCATTTATCAAGCTCTAACCACCTGTCTAGACTTGTGGTGAACAAATTATCAACAGCTACCAAAGATCAGCTATCAACTCCAAATTCTTTAAGGGAGAAAAAAATCAGTCTACTGAAAAGCTTCCTTATTTGGAACGGGCACATTAGCATGTGGCAAGGTTGATTGCTTTAGTAAATGAAAATTATATTTATAACCAAAACTGTTAACCAACTTTTTTTTGCTGATACTTTATTTTGAGTTTAGCCTTTTATAGACGACTTTACATGGTTTTTAAAAATTTCTTGATGTTTTTATATAAGGGAAGACCCAATTATTACATATTCACAACGATTTATATACACATGATTTATTTACTCGTGAAAGACACAAAAATAAATCACATGCGAAAATTAGTTGGTTTACAGCAGTTGATGGCCAAATAAAAATTTCAAGTTTAAATTAACAAATTTTAAAGTAGCTACAGGCAGACAAATAATATCTTTAAAGAACAAAAATGTGGTAAAATAAGGATTTATTTCCCCTCAATTTGTGTTCATAGGTTGATTGGCCATTAAAAATATCATCGGTCATGAATATTTATATTACAGCATTCCATGGTGTACTTTTTCCATCACTATGAATTACCAGCAATTCTCCAACAAGCCAGAATACAACAGATAGTAAATAACCAAAATACTAATCAAACCAATGCAGAAAGAGAAAATAATCAGCCAGCAAATACTACACAAGATAACCAGGTAGCTGTAGATCAGCAGCCTACAGAGCCTAATGTTCCAGTAGATCAGCAGCCTATAGAACCTAATGTACCAGTAGATATGCCAACACAAGAACTACCAAATCAGAGTAATTCAGAGTCTGAAGTACAGACTGAATCTGTTGGTCAGAATATAACAGAGGATAATAATCAACCACCATCATTAGGAGCTTTATCTACAGAAACAAATACAAAAGTAACTAATACACAATCACCTTTAGAAGCTGTATCTGCAGGAACAGATACATCTATAGAAAATAGCCAACAAGCATCTTTTATACCTGAAAATAATTTAGAAAATAGTGAAACAGTTACTGAAAATAATTCTCATATACCATCAGACTCTATAAAAACTATGAATGGAACTATTCCTAAAGATTCAGAAAATGAATCTCTAATTAACAATGATAATAACAGAACTAGTACTGGTGATCTCTCTCATAAACCTTGCAATACCACTACTTCACATAATGACAATTCTAAGGGAGATAACTTAGAATCATCAAAGTGTTTAGGTGACTCAGATCAAACACTTGAATCATCTAGATCTAGTCAAAGTTGTTTTCAGAACTGTGATAGTGAACAAACTTCCACATCATGAATTTAGTTAATTTGTGAAACTGTATAATGGTAAAACAGAAAATTTTGAAATGCAATTTGGGTAAGGAATTGTGAATTAAAAACTTCTTGTTTTGTATGTATTAAAAAATGTGCAAGATTAGAAAAAAAATGCAGCTGTTCATAACACAGTACCTATATTGATATGTTATCATGAAATGTCTGTCAGTAAACACAGAAAACAAAATGTCTGTCAGTAACCACAGAAAACAAAATGTCTGTCAGTAATCACAGAAAATGAAATGTCTGTCAGTAATCACAGAAAACAAAATGTCTGTCTGGAACCACAGAAAACAAAGAATCTTTGACTGAACTGTTCATGCATAAAAGTAATGTAAATTAAAATGTGCTAAAGAATTGACACAGTTATATTGTATGATGGAATGGCATTGTTTATTTATTCCTATATGTAAACATATTTTTTTATCAAAAAATTTCATTTGAACAGTGTAAAAGTTGCAGTATAAAAAGACAATTATTCATTATCTCAGAATGTAAATTTTATTTGTACTGAGGTCGAAACAGGTTTGAAATGCTCAGCAAAGCCTCACATTTTACATTTTACATGTATTCTAAGCCTCTTGCAAATAAAAAAGTAGACTTGGTAAGGCCTAAAAAAGTGGCCCCTATTTCTAGCTAAAATTTGAAATTATTAATATTTGCTTCTGCTTATTATCACAAAGAATCATAGTTATAACAATTAATAAATAGAAAAAAAAATGTTTTAAGTTTTGAATTGACATATCAGCAGTCTTTTTCTTCTTTTGTTTGTTATTAGGATCAATTTTAATTTTCGTCTGATGAAAAATAGACCAATTTGCATTGGTTTTCTGGACAGGAATACAGCACATGCATCTAAAAAAAACCTGTAACAATATGTTTGTTTTAACAAATATCCTATCTGACTTGAATATTTAGTTTGTTGAACCCTGTGTTCTATATTTCCTGGACGTAAATTTTTGTTGAAATACAGGAGATTTTCTCATCTTTCTCACATGTTTATTCATCAACTTGAAACACATTTTGTCTTGAAATAATTGACTTGATATGGTGATATTTGGGGCTAAATTTTACCTTTAGTTTTAATTCTATATATATATTTTTACAATTCAAAACAAAAAGCAGAAAAAAGGACATATTGATGGGAAGGGTATGTTTTATGTACAATGTAAGTGTCTTCTGATACACATACATGTAATGAGATTGTAAGTTTTTATGATGTATCATGCTGAAAGAATCAATACAGAATATTATCTTCTACCTCTTCTCAATGTCTTCTTTGAAGCCTTGGCTATCTAGAGCAGTCAAGTTATCAGTAATTTTGACTCGTACATTGTTATCTGTTAACGTTTTATGTTGGAGTTGACGTACATGCCATGAATATTCAAAAGAAGGTTTGAATCAGTTTTTGATCTAGCCAAGCTGGATATATGTGATCACTTTTTATTTTAAGATGGTGCAGAATTTTGAGTTGAAGACATATCATGAAACTAATGATGTATTATGACTTGCAGAAAGTTTATACACTATTTCCTTCATTTACTGTCAACTTTTGACATGTCATTTGTCAAAGGTGAAGGAAGCTATCACATGTAGTGATGTACTAAACAATTTTGTTTTATTCAAGTTGGTTTGGGATTGTATCCCACTATGAATTGTAAACATTTATACAGGTGGAAAATTTGTGATTATAGTACATGTGTATTTGCACCTCAAAGCATACTAGTAATTTGAACCCTTGAAATTGTTTTCTCTGAATAAATGTTCAGTTTGGGGAATATCAGTTGGCCGTGCCAGCTTTTTACTTGTTGTATCTGAGATGAATTGAATAAAAGGTTATAAGAGGAACAGGTGCAAAATAGAAGTGTTTTGTGAAGTTTGAAGTTAATTATTTTTTATTTTTTCTTTTGAATTCTTCAGAAAAAAATCATTTTTTGAGACATAGACTTTGGTAAAATATCAATCATTTGATTTCCATTTGCCAGAAATAAAAGAATTCAATTTTGAGTTTTCCTTATGATTTCCCAAAAAAGCATCATTTTTCAACAGCTTCTGGTGTACCAAATACTTATATATTCTTACACAAAATGGCTATGCTTTCTGATATTTAAAATTGAGCTTGATATGAGCATGATATACAGTGTGATGCTTTTCACATCCATTGCTCATCAGTTACTGTTTTCGGAATACTTGTAACAGGGGTACCATTTGTGAGCAATAACTCACAGTCCAACTTGTCTGAATGAAGATATAATGTTGTTATCACATGGCTTTTGTAAGCTTCTCATAATTTCCAAGCTGTAAGGGCTCGATTATTGGGTAATCACCAACATTTATTTCCATGTGAATTTTTATGACAATCAATGAATGCATTGGTGTGTCAATAAGAATTGTGTCATGATGTGAAATCATATTTGTACATGGTAAATAGAATCAATTTAATGTCTATATATTAATGTGTTCATAACAATATCCTGCTCATTGTTGCTTCAATAAACACATGTTCAATGTTCTCATGTTGACAGCTTGCAGTTGTATCATGTTGTGCCTTATATAGCCCTATATTGCACTAGTAAAGCTGCTTACTGGTACATGGGGATTAAAAAAAAATTACATCTTAGATTTTTAGCTTTAGATGAACAAATTCCTAACCAATATTACTTATTTTGTGTTATGGAAAATACTAACTATAAGAATTAATGTTCCAGGAAAAAAAATATACTCATTCTGTCAACGTTGGTTGACAGTAGATTTTTAAAAACCTCTTAATTCTGAGTCACAACTGAAAACAAAAATTTTGATTCTAAAAAATGTTGTAAGAAAATATCGAAAAGATGTGGTATGTATCCTTAGAAGATCATAAAGGTTTTAATGATTCCTAATTTTTTAATAAAAATAAAAAAATTAGAACTTTTTAGTCAAATTACACTACCAAATTAAACATAGTGAAAATCATCTATGTATGTGACATAAAGTATTGATTCTATAAAGAACTCGTCTATGAATACAAATATATATTTAAAGCATTCTCCCATAGAGAATAAAAGCTTAATGCTCCTATTGTTTTTGGTTAAAGATTGCATTTATACAATCAAAACCCTTATGCTTATTTTTGCAAGACCTCATCACTACAAAAACAAAATGTATTTAGGTGAACATTCTTTTCATCCTATTTATGTACATATCAAGAAATTTATCAAGGAAATTTATACTCATATATTCAAGTTACAAAATGATGTTTTTGTGCCTAACAATATTTATAAAAAAAATAACATATATTGCACATGGTACGAGAATCCATCATTTCTAATAGTAACAAAGATGTCTTTCTATTGACTTGTATATGTATACATGGTGCAGAAATTCATTCATTTTGTACTTTTCTCCTGTTACAACATATTTATTATCTATTAGAATAACAATTTGTTGTAACAGTTATGATATTTATTTCTGTCTATATTTTTGACAGACTTTTCGTAAAATACTTAACAAATAAAAGAAAAAAGATTTGGAAATGCCCTATTAGAAATTGTGTCAGACATTCAATATGATTTGTTGCTCACTGTGATGTTGACTGTTTAATCCCTTGCTTCCAATTATTAGTTGCAATTCAGTGTTTTATATGATCTGTATGAGCCTTCTTTTTCTGAGTCTTGATGTAAAATAATCTTTAAAATTCTTATTTCATTTAAATCTGAGAAAAAGTGTGTTATTTTTTTTTATCATTATTGTGATGATTACATTGTTTAAATTCCTTATTTGAAAATGTATGTAATAATATAGTGTGAAATATGAGGATGTACACTTGTGAAAGAAAGCCATTTCAATATGAAAATGTTCAGAAAATTATTTGATATGATTGGTGCTGTTGTATAAACATTTTATAACCTCAGTAAAGACAACAACTGAATTCATTGATTAATATTATTTTATCTACACGAAGAGCTCACTGCTGTTTTCTCTACAGGGTCTATCTCATATAGTTCATAGGTTCAGTTTATTTTTACCAATTTTATTCTGTGTTTTACAAGGTCCAAAAGAAAATTTAATACAGCTATTTAATTTTTACATTTTATTGATTATTTCTTATTTGTATGATAGGATTTTAGGTGAATCATGTATAACGGCGATTTCTTGTCTATTGTCAGGCCAGGTAAATATAAAAAAAAGAAGATGTGGTACGATTGCCAATAAGACAACTCTCCACCAGAGACCAAATGATGTAGATGTCAACAACTATAAGTCACAGTACAGCCTTCAACAATGAACAAAACTCATACCGCATAGTAAGCAAATGTCTGATTTTTGTGTTGACTGCACAAGGAATTAGCGGAAGTGAAACTCAGATGTGTATTTTCTGGTGGGTAGACATTGATGTTGGTCTCAAGAATTTTTAAACAGATGCCTTATGATCTGGAGTTTCCATCTGACATATGTCATTGTCCTTGATCTTATTTTCATGGGTTCCAGCAAATTTTTAAAAACTTAAATTCTATATGGCATCATTTTTTTCAGTTTTGAGTATTGATACAACTGTATTTGGTATATAGAATCGTTGCAAGGTATCCATGTACATTATGCAGGGTTCACCTGACCTTAACTCCATCGATGGATCAGTGATCAAAGTTAATTTTTAATTCCTATGTCTGTTTCTCTAGAAATGAAGCAATAGATTAACATAATTGGTATATGTACAGATTGTAAAGTGTATATGTCTGTCTGACAGGGTTATTCTGACCTTGAACTCACTTTTATGATTCATTGGTTTTCCTTATTAGAGCCGGTTATCGGATACTATGATCAAAAGGTCAATTTTATATGATGTATTGAACGATTGTAAGAAAAGTATATAAAACACAGAACTCCAAGGCAAATTAAAAAAGGGGAAGTCCATAAAAACTGACAAAATCAAACGCTATCAATCAATGGAACAAGTGAAAAACAACTGCCATATTGTAAGTTGGCAGTGTTTATCTGAAACAATTTTTATGGTTCATTGGTGAATGTGAAATTTCGTAATTAGGCCTGTTTTTCTGATGCTATCAGTAAATGGTAAATTGTATTTGGTGTATACTTTGATTTTGCAGTGTATGTATTAGGCAGGATCCATTCGACCTTGATGCCATCTTGATTTAGAATTAATAATGTTATGTGGTACCTATAGTACAAACTTATATTGAAGACATTCAATAAAAAGTTCAATTGCAATCAAAAGCAGACAAGGCAGTTTATCGAGTGCAATTGTGTATTTGGTATGCAACAGGATAAGCATTGACAAATCTCTTTTCCGTGAAGATTATTTCACCCCTCCCCCTCAATCATAGTCTACTGACTCTTTTTCCTTCCTTTTATATTGAAAAATTACTTACAGTTTTGGTGCTTGTTATGTTTAAGACACAGTTGGAAGAGTTAGACGAAATTTTTACTGGAATTATCTTTGTGTATACTATAAAACAGGATTAAATCTTCTGAACATTTTTATGAGTAATAAAAATATTATATTTGGTACATTAATGTAGAATCATCGCAATATATCTATGTAGGTTAGACATGGCTCACCTGACCCTGACTCTATTGACTCCAATGATGAAACAGTGAATAACATTAAGTTCTGTGGTTATGTCTGTTACTAGAATACTCTAAGCAATATGATAATTTATTTGCTACATGTATAGCTGTCCTAAGTTTTCTTTTGGACATTGTATCACACATAATAAATTTGATAAACAGCAAATTTTTAACAAAGAGTACTTACTTTAAATAAATCTTATACAGATAGCAATAATTGTCCTTTTCTAGGTATGTTTATTTCAGTTTCGTACAGAACACTCTTTACGAAATTTTGACAAGAGAGATGATTTTTCGTTTCCTATTGTTAATTTTCCCATTTTGGACGGGGATGTTCCTTTTGCCCATTCTTATGTTGTGCATATTTCAGAATTTGTTTGCTATTCCCGTGTCTGCAGTCACGTTTTAGATTTCAATGAACGTAATTTATGTAAATTACTAAGTCAGGGATTTCGTTTCTACAAATTAATTAAACACTTTACTAAATTCTTCCATTGGTGTAAGAAACGCTAAACAGAAAACTAAAAACTGAGCAACACGAACACCACAAAAAAAAAACAAACCCGGGGGTAATCGCAGGTTCTCAGGAAGGAAAAGCTTGTGACATCCGCTGTGTTGCTCATGCCAACAATTCGGTGATACGTCGCATTCGATGATGTCAGACTCGGGGAAATTGTTAAGATATTAGAAACCTCATTTGTCATCTATGACCCAGATATTTCATAACGATCAGCCAATTCATAATGACGTCCTTAAAACTTAAAAGGGATTTTTAACTTTACCATTAGGAACCCTTGGTTCGATAGCTTCTTATTAGCAGCAACTCTTATGCAAGGAAATAATGATGGAAAACGCAAGTGGTGAAGTTGAAATCATCCCTTCGTAAATTTTACGGACGTCATCACGAGTTGGTTGACCGTTATGGAATAACCGTTTCACAGATGATATCGGATATGTTCCTTATGTCGTAACTACAATACCCTTCCCTTTTCACGAATGTGACCTACCGAATTAGACTATTTACCGGATTTGTAACAACATAAGCAACACGACGGGTGCCACATGTGGAACAGGATCCTTACCCTTCGGGAGCACCTGAGATCACCCCCAGTTTTTGGTGGGGTTCGTGTTGCTTAGACTTTAGTTTTCTATGTTGTGTCATCTGTACTATTATTTGTCTGTTTGTCTTTTTATTTTTGGCCATGGCGTTGTCAGTTTGTATTCGATCTATGAGTTTGAATGTCCCTCTGGTATCTTTCGTCCCTCTCTGAAAGGCTCTTGCCATAATTCTATGTTCAACGCTGATGGTTCCGTACGATAAAAGCAAGGATATACATGCCTTCTGAGGATTCAGGTCCTTCTAGGGATTAAGGCATCAGTATTCCATTCCCGTATTTTTTTAAATTCAAATATTTTTCATTTTCGTCGAGTCTATGACATTTTGTCAAGGAAGCGAAACATCATGATCCTTCGTTCCGTCTTTGTCGACAGCATCAACATTTTGGATAAGACTGGTTATTTCGTTTAGCATCAATAAAGGCAACAGTAGTATACCGCTGTTCGAAACTCATAAATCGATAGAGATAAAAACAAATCCGGGTTACAAACTAAAACTGAGGGAAACGCATCAAATATAAGAGGAGAACAACGACACAACAAAAACACAACATTAAAATGTAACACACACAGAAACGAACTATAATATAACAATGGCCATTTTCCTGACTTGGTACAGGACATTTTAAGAAAAAAATGGTGGGTAGAACCTGGTTTTGTGGCATGCCAAACCTCCCGCTTTTATGTCAACGTCAAACACAACACCAAAACGACAACATCACATGACAGGACCACAATACAAATTAATGGGAGAACATATCTATAGGACAAAGAAACACACGAATAATAGCTAACAAAAGGTACTAGGCTTAAAATTCAATACGCCAGACGTGCGTCTCGTCCACACAAGACCAACCAGTGACGCTCAGATGAAAAAAGTTTGAAAGCCAAAACAAGTACAAAGAGGAAGAGCACCGAGGACCAAAACTTCCAAAAAGTTGCGCCTAACACGGCCAGGGTTTTCTGCCTGGGACAAGAACATCCTTATTATTTAGAATAATTTATAATTTTGCAAACAGTAAATTTTATAAAATGACTATATGATAGATATACATGATAAAACCGAAGTGGGGACTAACTACAGAATAAAAACGGATACATAAAATAAAACAACTTAATCCAACACATAAAAATACACAGCCGAGTTAGCCAAAGCCTCAACGCACAAAGTGACGTCACATTTGCAATTCTAAAAAAATACACAAAGTGACGTCACATTTGAATTTGTAAAAATATTTCCCAAAAATAAGATAAGATTAGGATTGATTTAAGATTAGATTTGTAATACTGACATTACATTTATTAATAACAATGAAAATTACAATACTTATTAATATCAAATTGTGGTAGTAATTAGATAATTAATTGTATTATCTAGCTATGTCAGTGTTTCTTCTGAATCAAACTGTAAACCAAATATATCGTATAAATTTTGTTGAATCAAACTAAAATCTAATAAATGAAGGGGGTGATTAATTATCTTTACCATAACACACGAATATAACAGAAAAGACGTTAAGAAATTTGACAAAATCCGACGAGAATAACAAATCTAACATCAAAATTAAATACATGAATTTGGGATAGAAAAGTACCGTGACACGTCTTATAGCAATGCGGTTTCACACTCAGCAAAACAGTCACAATCGGGAATAAGTCACGTTCGGTAATTAAAAGATCAGACGACGTAATGACAAACCAGAATCTAACGCGTGGTAAAAATGTCCAATAGCTTTGTCAAACCTTTATGGAAATATATGAATCTTGGACAGAAGCTTTTTAATGATCAAAAGACTTCAGAGTAAATTTTGATTATGTTTTTTCTTTATTTTTCCTATTTTACTGATAATGGACTTTGTTTTTTTTTTGGACAGTTTACATTAAGTTACAATTTAAGGTTAAGGTTTTGTTGACTTCTATAACTTTTTCCAACCTTCATGTTATTTTACGAAACGTCCAAATCGTGTAACGTCAAGAGAGACTAGACATTTATTGTCGAAATGTGCATCTGGTTGAACTGTGTATTTTATTCGACAGGATATTACTTAGTTTTTGACAGTTAACACTTTCAGGGAATGTTTTGGAACATGAACAGAAGCTTCTTCAATATCTAGAAATACAATCTATAGAAAATAAGTTTGATTTTGTTTTTACTTTTTTGTAGTTAACTGGTAAGTGAACTTAGTTTTTGGCAGTCATCATTTAAAATCTATTCTTGACATTAGCAATATCATACGAGATACATGGTTCTACGGAACCCTTTACCATTTGTTTTGTAATCTCAATAGCTAGTGGTGTTTGATTAAGTTTTGCCGACCCAAGCCTTTGATAATGAACGACCATCGCTTCCCATAACATAAACATAACCATTCATGAAATGTTACGATACAA